GTGCTGATGAGGCCAAAGTAGTGACAGGTGTTTGAAGATGCTGAAAGGGCACAATTGCCACCTGCTCAGTTGGTCTCTGAACTGGACCAAGTCCAAAGAGACCCAGTACAAAGCCCACCACTGCCTTCATGTCTGCCGGGACGAGCAGCTCTTGTTAGTAGTGTTTGCTCCTTACTCACACTTAAACAAGCTTGGCTTCTTTTACTTTTAACCAAGTAAAGCTAATGATACAAGTAATTCATGGTTGTTTTTTTTTTTTCTTTTTTATGGGAAAATAAGGAAAGAAAACAAAAACACTGTATTTCTACTGCCCAGAGGAAAGAGCATATTGGATTATGTTCTTCCATTTTCTTATCTGAAGAAAGGGTTCTTCAAAAAGTTTATGGAAAATGCATATTATCAACAAACTGTGCATGGATTTCCTTTCCTTTTTGGCACCAAAATAAACTTAAACTTTAATTCCATTTTCCACAAACTTTTGAAATCCCTTGTATAAAGAACATTATTTTTGAAAGCTTAATAAAGTCCGTAGAAAACATTTATTTTCCATACCATTTACAAAATTTTCTTCTTATTCATAGAGCTATCTTGCATTTAGATAGTATTTAACAGTTTATAAAGTATCTCGTGCTTTCTTTCAGTAATTTCTCATAATTATGTGATAAAGATGAATATTATCCTCATTTCATAGTCAATGAAACTAAGGCTCAGAAAAGTTAAGTGACTTGTCCAAATTCAAACAACTTATAAGTATCAGAGTCTCAAATTCAGGTTTTCTGAATCTTCTTTATTTTTTAAAGAATTTTGTATTTAATTATATTTATTATTATTATTATTTAATATGATGAGAGAGGGAAAGCAAGCTGCCAGGTCCAGGACTCAAACTACAGTTGGCTATGTAGGAGTCCAGCCTCTTAACTACTGATTCTTAAGTATCAAGCATTCCCTACTGAGCCATGCCTGCAATAATAATAACTTTAGAAACACATACATGCACTATTGCCTTTTTTCATAGCAGTATGTCGTTATTCATTAGAACATGGAAGGAAATGAAATGTACACAGCCTTCCTGATTATTAATTAAATTACCTCGAGTTTTGATTGATGCAGCGTGATTAGTGAAATTAATCAGAATATCTAAAGAGATGGAGGATCGTGCAATTGGAATAGAATATTTGTTTATGTTACCCCGAGGCAGATTTTTTTTTTTTTTGGTTTCTGCTATTTTGTTTATAATAATGCTGTGTGGTTTCACTATTTCCAAGTCACTTGGTCAGTGTTAGGCAAGATTTTTAGATTTTATTTTCATTTCCACATAAAAGAAAAGAAAAACTAAGTTTTTTTACTTGAAGCATAAAAAGCACAAAGGAACACCGGCTCCTAGGTGTTTGCTCTAGCCAAGGAAAAAGAGAAAAGGAAAAATTTAGGAAAAAAAAAGAAAAACAATTTTTTAAATAAAGAAAAGAGGAAGAAATAACCCAGTGGAGCACAGACAAACAATTTCAAGCCGTATTCTGCTGCCATGAATTCCTAATACACTGGAACGCTCCCAGAAGCTTGCTTCTCAGGATGAACTGTTGCCAAAACATATCATCATTAGCAAAACCATAAGTGGCAGAGAGTTCACTTTTTTTTCTTAAAATAGCAATAAAGGCAAATCAAAGTCTATAGATAATAAAATTAGATAAATATTTATAAAATTTGTTATGTACAACACTAAAAATACTGCCTACTATTTCTAGTTTTGCCAAGATTTCTTTCTTTTTCTTTTTGTAAAGAGAGATTTTTGCTATAGGGTACATGTGCTTGGAAAGACAGAGATACGGAGAGACAGAAAGGGAGAAATCATCCACGGTGGGGGAGGGCCACACCACAACGGAGAGACAGAAAGGGAGAAATCATCCACAGTGGGGGAGACAGGGTCGGGGAGGGCCACACCACAGTCCTCCATTCTCCTCTCAGGATTTTGGGTATGCACACACACACGCGCGCACACACACACACACACACACACACACACATGCTTGCCATTGGTTTCAAGCCACTGGATCTGGGACTTGAACTGCAGTCAACTACATGGATGTCTAGCGATACAGTTAACTACATGGATGTCCAGTGATGCAACCATTATGCCATCTGCTAGTCCAGCATCCAGGTTTTTTATATACATACATTTGTGGTGTGGCCATTCCCCCAGGGGGTGATTTCTCGCTTTCTGTCTCTCTGTCTCTCTCTGTCTTTCTGGTGAGCGCGTGAGCCCTATAATAAGAACCTCTCAAAAGAAAAAAAAAAAGCCAGATTTTTATTGTGTTAATTGGTTACTTGTACATACAAGGAGTCTTCAAAAAGTTCATAGAAATGTGAAAAACTGTGCATAGATTAAAAAAAATTATCTTGCACCCACATAAACTTGTACCGTAATTTCATTTTCCATGAACTTTTTGAAGTACTTTCATATTTATGCTTTTTGGTGAATTGCCTATTTATATTGTTGGCCTATTTTTTTAAATGAGGTTTTGCTTTTTCTTATTTTTCCGTAAGAATCTTTTCTCTATTGAGTGTATTAAACATCTACCTTAACATTGTAAATGTGCTGATTTTTAAAAATGTGTTGGTGCCTTTTAATTTTATCTCTAATTATTTTTGCCATATAGAAATGTTCATTTCTGGGCCAGCCCCGTAGTGCAGTGGTTAAAGTAGGTGGATCACACAGTGGCTGACCGTGGTTTGAATACTACCCTGGTGGCTTGAAAAACACACTGAGCGCACGTGTAGGCACACTCAAAATCTTGATGGGTTGAAGAAATGGAAGGAAAAGTATTGTGGCCTGACAATGACCCATTGGGATGCTTTTTTTCTCTTTGATAAATTCATGCACCATCTGGAAAATTTAAAAAAGAATGCTCATACATAGACAAATATATCGATCTTTTTCTTTATGAATACTGAATTTACATGTATTTGACACTTCCAAGATTTAAAGAAATATTTATATATGTCTTATAGTATTTAAATTTTTTCAATTGTTTAAAAGCTTACTTATGTATTTTTTCAAATGTGGGAGAAAGGGGAGACAGAGAGAGACAGCCACACCTCATAGAGTCTTCATGCTGTGACCTACCCCTAACCTCGGCCAACCTAGATCATGGGCACACACATGTGCCAGGCATGTACAGGGAGGCCATGGGACATGAACCTGAGGCCTTCCCATGTGAGTCCTGTTATGTTACCTCTGCACCATCATCTGGCCCCATCTACTTTTGAAATTTTTTAAAGAATTATTTATTTTTGTTTGTTTAATAATTTATTTTAATTTGATTAGAGAGAGAGAAAAAGAAGGAAAGTGAGAAAGCAAGCTGCCAGTCCAGGACTGGAACCACTGTCAGCTGTGTGGGAATCCAGTGCCTTAACCACCATGCCACCTGTGAGCTCCCTACTTTGGAATTTTTAATTCATCTAGAATTCTTTTTTATATGGTGTTTGTAAGGGAATGAATGTGACATTTTTTTCTCCCAAACTGTTTAGGAAATTATCTGAACACCATTTAAAATAATCCATTCTTGAAGCCAATATATGGCGTAATTATTACATTGCTGGACTCTCACATGGTTGACACAGTTCAAGTCCTGGATTCAGTGGCTTAAAAATCACACTGGGCATATGTGCATCCATGCCCATGATCTCAGGAGAATGGAGGAGACGGGATTGCAATGTGGCCATCTCTCCCTCTCGCTCTCTCTGTCTTTCTCTCTCCCCAGCGAGTGTATGTGCCCTAAGGCAAAAACATCTTTTAAAAAAGAAGGAAAAAAAGGGAATACATTCTTTTCCCATAACCTTAGAGTGACACTTTGATCCTATACTCCAGCCTCATTAGGATTGGATCTCTTTCTAAATCTTTTCTTTAAAGATTTCATTAAACTTCTAAACTACTTTTTTATTTTATTTATTTGTAAGAGAGAGAAGGAAAGTGAGAAAGCATCCCCCTATCAGGGATGGTCATGCTGCAATCCCTTCTCCTCCATTTCTCCTTCTGAGATTTTTCAAGCCATCGGATCCACGACTTAAACCATACAGTTGGCCATGTGGGATCCAGCTGCCTTAATCACCAGACCACCGATCCCACATGGCTGCCAGTGTGGTTTGACTTCCAAACCCAGTGGCTTAAAAATCACACTGGGCATATGTGCATCCATGCCCACGATCTCAGGAGAATGGAGGAGACGGGATTGCAATGTGGCCATCTCTCCCTCTCGCTCTCTCTGTCTTTCTCTATCCCCAGCGAGTATATGTGCCCTAAGGCAAAAACATCTTTAAAAAAAGAAGGAAAAAAAGGGAATACATTCTTTTCCCATAACCTTAGAGTGACACTTTGATCCTATACTCCAGCCTCATTAGGATTGGATCTCTTTCTAAATCTTTTCTTTAAAGATTTCATTAAACTTCTAAACTACTTTTTTATTTTATTTATTTGTAAGAGAGAGAAGGAAAGTGAGAAAGCATCCCCCTATCAGGGATGGTCATGCTGCAATCCCTTCTCCTCCATTTCTCCTTCTGAGATTTTTCAAGCCATCGGATCCACGACTTAAACCATACAGTTGGCCATGTGGGATCCAGCTGCCTTAATCACCAGACCACTGTCTGAACCCACACTCTTAATTTTCTAAAGTTTATGATGGTCCTGTTCTTCTGTTTGTTTATTTAAAATTTATTTTCTTTTTTCCTCTTACATTTGTGTCTTATAGTTGCTATGTGAAGTTTCACCAAAGTATTTCACTGGCGTTTTTATTGGCACCTGCCTTAAATTTCTACGTTACCTTGGGAAGCATTAACCTTTCTACATGCCTTGCTTTGTTCAATAGGTGATTCCCTCCACATACTGAAGTCCTCGGCGAAGCTTTATGATGGTTATAGTTGGCGATCTGCATGCTTACTGTGAGCTTCTTCTGGGGTATTTTGGAGAAATCACAGTTCTCACAGCATCTTGCTCTTCCAACCACCAGGTTCTGACCACATCCGAGAAAAAGACGGTTTGTGGGCTGTCCTCGCCTGGCTCTCCATTCTAGCCACCCGCAAACAGAGCGTGGAGGACATCCTCAAAGATCACTGGCAAAAGTATGGTCGAAATTTCTTCACCAGGTACGCCACAGCCTGGCTGGGCTATGAGGTAGGGTGGGGAAGTGGGCAGAGAGAATTCTCATGCGTACAAAGTCTTTCGAGTCTGAAGCGATAATAAAACTCCAGTTCATTCAGTTTCAACCAATCAGGGATTTTTTTTCAAAAGTGTTTATCCCTTTACTGATGATAGGATGTACATAGACACATGTGAGAGAGAAAGAGAGAAATGACCACCCTCCACAGGGTCTGGTCACACCGTCCTTTTCTTCCTGTAGCCCATTGGATCCCAGGCACTCACATTCATATCTAGTGTATTTCAGGCTGACCAGGCTGAGAACTGGAACCAGAGTTGCCATGCGGGGTTGGCTTCCCATGAGCAGTACATTAACACTGTGCCGTGGAAAGTGGCCCAAACTAAGGATTTGAAAGTAATTCAGTCAGGGTCAGGAGGATGTCAACTTTTATGTGAGCCCACAAAGAATGAGGCTTAAGAAATTTAGTTCACGTATTGAAAAGAATAAATGCTTTGTTAAGTATCTTGAGTGTACCCATTAGCTGGCCATGATAACAACATTAAATTTGGATTCTAAAGAATGGATTGAGTCTTATTTGTGCCCCTTACTAATGAGAAGTCATTTAGCCTCTCTCTGTACTCAGTTTTCTCACCTAGAAATGAGAATAACAGTCCAGTCATTGAGAGAATTAAATAAAGCATGAGTCTAAAAATGTTTTAGGGCACTAAAAGTATGGAAATTTTTTTTCTTAAATTATGGAAATAATTACTGTTAGTTTAAATCAACTTTCCTGACTTATTAAAATAGATCCCCAAAGATTGTGTACTTATTAATACTTCATTCATTGATTCAATGAATATTTACTGCATACCTATCTTTTTCTGCCAGTTACTTAGGATTCAGCAGTGAACAAAATGCCCAAGAACACAGAATTATTATTTTTTTAACCATGCTTACTCCTATTTTTAAAAAGCTTTTTAAAAAAAAAAAAAAAAAGCAAAACTAGTAGTCTTTTTCACTAATTCCAGTTTGCTTTTCTCCCAATAAATAATAAAAAAAAAAAATAAAAAAAAAAAAAAAAAGGCAAAACTAGTAGTGGTTTTCACTAATTCCAATTTGCTTTTCTCCCAATAAATAATAATAAAAAAAAACAACCTTTAAAAACTATTTTTCTAGGGGGCCAGCTGGTGGGACGGTGAAGGTGGCTCAATCCCACATGGCCAACTGCACAATTCAAGTCCCAGACTTGGTGTCTTGAAAAACACACTGGGCACCTGAAATCCCGAAAGGAAAAATGGAGAAGGGATTGGAGTGTGATCATTCCCCACAGGAGAGTGCTTTCTCACTTTTCTTTCCCTGTCTCTCTCCACTGAGCACACATGCTCTCTAGCAAATTCAAAAAATAAAAAGTATCTAGAACCCAGTATTCTAATCATGAAAAGAGAACATAAAAAAAGAGATATTAGAGGGACCAGCAGTTATCGTAATGGCTATGTCGCTGGACTCCCATGTAATCGACCACGGTTCTAGTCCCGGACCCGGTAGCTTAAAACTGAAGCCAGGCGCGTGTGCGTGCATGCCCAAGATCCCGAGAGGAGAATGGAGGAGAAGGGATTGCGGCGTGGCCATCCTCCCTGGGGGGTGATTTCTCACTTTCTGTCTCTCTGTCTCTCTCTGTCTGTCTGGTGAGCGCAGGTGCCCTATAGCGAAAACCTCTCAAAAAAAAAAAAAAAAAGAGAGAGATTAGATAAATCATTTATGCATAAGAAATGTATGAATGTAATTTCTCTGGACCTCGGTTGCCTTTCATATAAAATGGGTGAGTTAGACTAGAGAATTTTAAAAATATATTCCAGATTTAATAGTACATGATCTTCCTCAGTGAATGAATGTAAAATAAATTAAATTAAATTTAAAAAGTAGTACATGATCTTCAGATAGTCAAGGAATAATTCAGCCTTAAACAACCTGGACTCCTTAATCAGAATACTGTTATTACATTTGGACAAGTTCATTGATGTCTTCCTCCTCCCAGTTACCCAAGTTACTCTTCTGTGGAAGACTTAAGTAATAGCCGCCACATGGCACCACATAATACTCTGGAAATCAAGGTAAAAATCTACTCTTTTTTTTTTTTTAATAGGTTTTCATCTTAGGGCCCATGCACTCATTGGAGAGAGAGAGAGACAGAGACAGAGGGAAAGTGAGAAATCACATACCTCAGGGAAGGTGGCCATGCAGTAATTTCTTTCTTCTCCTGGGATCTTGGGCACACACTCGATACGTACCCGGCATGGTTTTCAAGTCACTGGGTCTGGGACTCAAGCGGCAGTTGGCTATGTGGGAGTCCAGTGATGTAACTTCTGCACCATTTGCTAGCCCTAAGAATCTACTCTTTAAGAGCCAGAAACACCTGGTGATTCAGAAGTCATGAATTCTCTAGAATCTGAAGTTTCACGAAAATAAGACCCTGTCTATTTTTGTGCCCATGGTATCCCCAAACACCTAACTCATAGTAGACATGTTGTAAATATGGTTTTAATAGATGGATAAATGAGTTAACAAATACACAGTAGCAAGAGTGGAATAAAATCAGGAAGAGTTGTTCAGTGAAAAGGTCATTCTTAAAATAGTTCGACTCGTCATATAAAAACTGTTTTAGGGTCAGCCCGTGGCATGGCAGGGTGGTTGATGCAGCTGGATCCCATGTAGCCAATAGCAGGGTTCAAGTCCTGGATCCAGCATCTTGAAAAACACATCACGTGCATGTGTGTGAATGCCTCAAAACCTGAAAAGACAGAGAAATAGAAGGGATTGCAGCATAATCATTTCCCATGGAAGAAGAGTTCTTTCTCTCCCCCTCCCAACCTCCAGCAAGCATATGCACCCTCTGGCAAATAAAAATGTTTTTAATTAAAAAATATCTATTTTGAATAAATTTTTAAAATTATCAAATATAGCTGCTAATCGAGTATTATAAATTGAGTCCTTAGAACCTGAATTTATCATGAGCTGTGACTCCATTCTACCCTCCAGTTATTGAACAGAAGTCCCGAGAGCAGTTTGGCATGCATTTTCTCATGCCACCCTCGGAACAGTTATTGATCACAGGGACCAGCAGATGGCGTGATGGTTACGTTGTTGGACTTGCATGCAGTCAGCTACAATCGAGTATTATAAATTGAGTCCTTAGAACCTGAATTTATCATGAGCTGTGACTCCATTCTACCCTCCAGTTATTGAACAGAAGTCCCGAGAGCAGTTTGGCATGCATTTTCTCATGCCACCCTCGGAACAGTTATTGATCACAGGGACCAGCAGATGGCGTGATGGTTACGTTGCTGGACTTGCATGCAGTCAGCTACGGTTCAAATCCTGAACCCAGTGGTTTAAAACTCACGCCAGACACGTGTGCATGCATGCCCAAAATCACAAGACAAGAAGGGAGAAGGGGTTGCAGCGTGGCCGTGCTTCCTGGGAGGTGATTTCTCACTTTCTGTCTCTCTGTCTCTCTGGTGAGCACACACACCCTATAGCAAAAATCTCTCTTAAAACAAATAAAAAACAGTTATTGATCAGGCAACTGAGATTCTGAGAGTTGGAGCAACTGGCCTATATTCTAAAATTAATAACTGGAGGTTGGATTCATAGCTCATGCTGTCCGATTGCAAAGCTCAGATTCTTTCCATTACACCCCTCTGTGCCTAGGATTTATAAAACATTTCCCTCAAACACCCAAAGGTCACAGTGTAAAACACAAACACCTGGTTGTAATTTCTTGCTGTTTATCATTTTAACTGGGGGACAGAACTGACTTCAAGATTAAGGGGACTGTTTTGTCCTTGATTCATGGAATCCTGGAGCCAGAATCGGTTGGTTTTAATTCCCCGGTATTTCTCATGTCTCAGAGGTGTCATCTTGCACATCTCGTGTTTGTTTCACTATTGCAAATAAATATAGACTCTGCTATCTTGAGCCTCTAAAAATTAACTCTCCCAAGAGAGTGTGTGCCACTAGGTCATACAAAGCCACCTGCAACAGTATTTATCCTCATAAGAAAGCAGTTAAGAACAATTCTTGAAGGAAGAATAATTATCATGGAGTTTCTTTTGTGATACACTTTTTTCCCCCTTGACCCTTTTGCATCCACATCAGGCCTCTATCAGGGTAAATCCATAACACTTTGGGCCAGGATCCACTCTTCCCGGGAGGAGGACAGCAGTTCTGAGGTAAAGAATTAGTGCTTGGCTCCTTTGTCTGGTCACTGAAAACTTGGCCTTGCTGTAGGAAGTTCCTGTGGAGTCTGGAGCTCTCCTGAGCCAAAATTTCAGCAGGCTCAGGCAGGTCACAAACTGGGAGCAGTCCCAGCATTCCCCCTAAAGAAGCCGCAGCAGTTTAGAAGAGAAGCGCCTGAGTCATGTGCACGTTTCCGTAGACTTCTGGAGAGATAACACTGCTTTTGATTCTACCTCGTCAGGATGTGCTGATTAAATGTCAGATAGTATCTTTTAAAAGCCTTTGAAGTCTCATAGAACTTTAGTCTGTAGAAAAGCCAAGATGGGTGTTTTCTGCCTATTCAGAAGCTCCTAACCCTTCCTTGAAATCCTTCAAACCCTTTCTTTCATCCCTGGCCTGTTTCATCTCCAGGGACTGACAAGCCCATATTTCTACCAGCTTCTTCTGAAGTTGGATGGTTTTGGGGGCGGGCCAAACAAATGATGCAGAAAGTGCTGATACACCTTGGTCTGCTCCGGAGTCAGCCTGCAGGCCTCAACTTGGCGACTTCTTCCAGGTATGATTATGAGGAGGTGGAGGCTGAGGGTGCGAACAAAATGATGAAGGACCTGGAGGCCATGATGTTTGATCGCTCCTTTGTGGGGAAACAGTTCTCCGTGAGTGACAAAGTTTACACCGTGGAGAAGGCCGATAACTTCGAATACAGTGACCCAGTGGACGGAAGCATTTCAAGAAATCAGGTAGGAATCAGTTCATGTCTGTGTAGGGGAAAGGTCTTGCAGCTTTGACTCTGATAATCTGAAGAGAAAAAAGAAGCCCCTGGGTCATTTTCCTTTGCTGCCTTGTTTTCTAGGGCAGCCATGCTCAGCTAGTTTTATGCTGGGTGACATGTGGCTCACATGCACTCAGAGGAGAAATTGTTTTTTTCCCCTGGTTCTTTGTTGTTCCCTATGCCCTCATTCTGGGATTCTTACTCTAGAATCCAGAGGGATTTTTGTACCCTCTGGAATTATGTGTAAGATATCATGTCTGGGAGCCAGCAGGTAGCATAAGGGTTATGTCACTGGACTCCCACATAGTCAACCGCAGTTCAAGTCCCGGACCCAGTGGCTTGAAACTCACAGCAGGTGCATGTGCGCGCATGCCCAAAATCCAAAGAGGAGAATAGAGGAGAAGGGATTGTGGCATGGTCATCTCTCCCTGCGGGGTGATTTCTCTCTTTCTCTCTCTCTGTCTCTCTGGCAAGTGCACAATCCCTATAGGAAAAAATCTCTCTAAAAAAAAGACATCACGTCTGTGTATGTGCTGAGAGGAGCCATGGTATCTGACAGAGGTGGAGAACTGTGGCCTTAGATGTCACGCCTCTCTTCTCTCCAGAGATGAGGCAGAATGACAGCATGAGAGTGGCATGATCATACACACTGGTTTTGTATATTTTTCTTTCTTTCTTTCTTTCTTTTTAAGAGAGGGTACATGCGCTTGTTGGAGAGACAGAGAGAAAATGAGAAATCACCCCATGGGGAATGGCCACATCGCAATCCCTTCTCCATTTTCTTCTTGTGATTTTGGGCATACACACATGCCTGGTGTGAGTTTCAAGCTTCTGGGTCTGGGACTCAAACCATAGTCAGCCATGTGGGAGTCCAGCTGGCCCTATATGTTTTAATTTCTAAAGAGAAGGGTAGATAAAGCTTTCCTAGGGATGTCACTGCCCACAGCCTACCCAGCACAGCAGTGCAGAACAAGACACTGCAGCTGAGACCCTGGCTCATCTCTGGATGTAGATGGAATTGTTAGGGCTTCCCTCGTTGTGTGCTGGGTACTCAAGGTTACAGGCTGGTTCCGAGTCTTCTCTCAGCTTCTCCCGAGCACTGGAGCCCTACAGTCCTCCCATCTCTGGTTCTGTTGCCTGTTGTTAGAAGGGACTCATCTCTGGTACTTTAACAACAGAGATAACAGGCCAGCAGGTGGTGTGGTAGTTGAGATGCTAGACTCCCGCATGGCCAACCGCAGTTCCAGTCCTGGACATGGCAGCTGTTTTCTCATTTTCCTGCTCCCTCTCTCCTTCTGGTCAAGTTTTTAAAAATAATAAATTAAATTAAAAAGCAAACAGAGATAATAAAGAGAAAGATGCAGGTTCTATTGAACATTTCCAGTTTGCTTTCTCCTGAAAGCAGAATTTTGGCTTCTCCCTCTCAACGTGTCCAACAGGGTTTGGAAAAGATGAGCGAGATGAAATCCTTTCTAGAGAGCAGGCAGTAGGTGTGCATGGATCCTGGCCCCAGCAGCCCTCTGGGCCTGGACTCTCCCTTCCTCCACATTCGCGGGTACCATATCATCATTGTGCCCTTTGCCATCTATGAGAACTTTGGTTCAAGTATGGATGATGATAAACCATGTCTGACATTATTGAAACAAGAATGACCTAGGGTGGGGAGGAGAAGAAGCTAGAAAAGGAGAGGGTGGGGCTGAGGAAATGGCAGAGCTCAGCAGAATTTCCTGTAAGAAGGCCTTCAGAGAGCGAGTAGGGAGAGTCAACTCCAACTCCACACTGCATCTAGCACCTGCTGGGAGGAGGGAGGAAGCAGAAGGAGCATGGGATGGTGTCTGGGTTTTGCCCAGGAGAGTAAGGGGCTGCTCTCTGTGTTCTGCCAGCAAGAAGGCAGCAGCTTTTTTAGAACCAGACAACCCGAGCATTCAGAGGGAAGACCAGGCAGGAGAGAAAAGGTTCTGCAGTAGAGACAGCCTCTGCAATTACTAGAAAAAAGAACTTACAAGCTTCAAGTCAGAGCCATAGGGAAGGAGACCAACCTGCTATGTTTCTAGAAAGAAGAAATGGTCAGTGGAGATGAACTTAGCCTTTCGTGCAGGCTGACTAGAGAGTGGCGGTGTGCACTCCATTGCTGTCTTTGCACGCTGACGGGGCTGGCGATGAACAGCGGGTGAGCAAGAATACATTTCCTTCAGGTCAGGCTTGGCCATTATGTAGTTCTTCCTTTGGTGGAAGAATTGACAGTCAAAGACTGAAAGATCTGACTCAGCCATTGTGGCTCCGTAGTAATGAGAGTGCCCTGCAAGGCTGGAAGCCATATGGCTGACGGTGGGTTCAGATCCCTGGATCAGCCTGAAAACATGCTGGGCACGTGTGTGGGTATTCGAACCCTAAGGAGCTAGAGGACTGGGGAAGGGGCATGTCTGGATGAGACCTTGTAAGAGGCATGTCTCTCTATCGTGCATATGTATGCTTTCCATCATGAAAAGAAAGAAAAGAGGAAAGAAAAAAAAGGAAAAGACGAGACAAGACCAAAGGATCCTCTAGCAACCATCCACCCAGTCTTCTTCCCTCAGGCTGGGGACTATCCACCCAAGAGTCCCTGACCTTTGACCCTGAAGTAGGAAGATCATGGAGTAGCAGAGCTACTATGAGGGAGAGATGGAGATGGCAGCAGAGATTAGAGTCATCAGCAGATTGGCCCCTGGATCCTGCTGTGGGTCAGGAACAGGTGGCCTCTCCACTTGAGACATTCAACTCCTATTCTCTACTTGAGGCGCTCTACATTGTCTTATAAAGAATTCTTCCTCATGTCTGCCTGAAACACTTCTGCTCTCTCAGCCCATTCTGTCCATGTTTCCCTCCCAATCTAGGGTTAAATTTCTGCACCTAGCAGCTTTACTTATTTATTAAGTGTCAAACTGGAATGGTTAGTCCATAAATCACAAGGAAGTGGGGAGGGGAGGGAAGCCCTCATGTCGTCCAGCATCATTGGGATCAGATCTCCCACCCGACCCTGGAAATACTTCTCCCCGCATTAGCTAAGCCCCCATCGGCTGGATGCAGAGAGAGGTTGACAGAAGGCAGATGCATGAGGCTCCACTGCTGCCATTTATCAAGGATCTAATCCTCCGGCTGATCAAGTATGGATGGAATTAGGTCTCCAAATGGACTCCTTGTACCTTGCCAGCCTTCAGTGTCTCTTCCAGCATATAAGAGAAAACATTCTCTGCTTATCTTTTTTTCAGGGCTTACGGCTCATTTTTGCAGATGGTTCTCGTATCATCTTCCGACTGAGTGGCACCGGGAGTGCAGGAGCCACCATTAGACTCTACATCGATAGCTACGAGAAGGACATCAGCAAGATCAACCAGGACCCCCAGGTAGTGCCCACACCATGTGCCCCAACTGGTTGTTCCCACTGGAGGGAATGATAGTGGTTCCATCGAGCCTGTGAGATTGTCTTAGCCCATTGTTGTGTTGTTTACAGAAATATCTGAGGCTGGGTAAATTTGTAAAGAAATAGAAGTTTATTCAGCTCACTACTTGGAGCTATCTAGGGTCCAGTGGTAATGTTTTGTAAGGCTACAACATGGTAAATGGCATAATCTTGAGGAGAACCTATAAGTTCTTTGTCATTTGTTTGTTTGTTTTATTTTTTTAATTTAAAAATATTTTTTGCCATAGGACGTGTGCTTGCTGGAGAAAAACAGAGAGATGGTGAGAAGAAAAGTGAAAAATCACCCCTCCCAGGGGAGATGGCCGGGGGGATGGCCATGCTTCAATCCCTTCTAGACCATTCTCCTAGGATCTTGGGCATGCATGTACATGCACCCAGCATGATTTTCAAGCCACCAGATCTGGGACTTGAACAGTGGTTGGCCATGTGGGAGTCTAGTGATGTAATAGCTACTCCATCTGCTGGGCCCACATAGCAAATCTTTAACTCAGCCCCTCATCTGAACTTCTGGTCTGTCACTAATTATTTGTCACTTTGCTTGGTCTGATCCTCTTTTCTGGCAGAAAGCGCACTTGTTTTAAATTTGGTGGAGGTGGGGAAAGGCAGTTTCATGTGTTCTTGGAAATGTCTGCAGACTTACAACCTAGTGGTTTGAGTTCCACTGTGACCCCCGAAGGAGTCTCCAGAAGTATGTCAGACTAAGGAGGGACCCTGGGAACCAGGGGTGGGAAGAGAACTTGAAGGACAGATGCCAAATGGAAGAGCCAAGGGGAAGCAGGAGAGAGTTTCCCAAAGTGTGTTCCTCACAACATTCATATTGACAGATGCTCCCCAGCCAGAGCTCCACAGCCAAAAATGCATAGGAAGTGTTGTGGTACATGAGGCTCATTTTGGTGATTCACAACACACACCTGCACACACACACACACACACACACCCTTAAAAGCTCTGAGAAGACCTGCAGTGAAGATGCCCATTTAAATAGCATTTCCCAGGTCTAGCAGGTAGTGTGATGGTTGAGGTGTTGGATTCCCACTTGCCCAACCCTGGTTCAGGTTCTGGACCTGGAAGCTTATCTTCTCATTTTTTCTCTCTCTGTCTTTCTCTGGTGAGCACATGTGCCATATAGATAATTAAAAAAATAATAACAATAAGTATAATTATATTAATAATTCTTTTAAAAATAAGTAAATAAAAATAAATAACATTTATCAGGGCTGGCCCTGTAGTACAACAGTTGAGATTATGCATAGGGAGCTGGATCCCACATGGCTAGCCATGGTTCCAGTCCTTGCCTTGGCAGCTTGAAAGACATGCTGGTTATGTGTAAATACATGCCCAAAACTCTGATAACATGGAGAGATGAAGGAAAAAGAATCATGGCCTGACCACTCCCCATTAGGATGCTTTCTCTCTCTGTCATGCACGTATGCAAATGAGCACATATGTCCTCTGGCAATAAATGATAATAATAAATAGCATTTACCAAAGGACCTTAGTAGACATTTTTCCAAAAAATACATACATATGGCTAATCACTAATTATCAGGGAAATACAAATCAAACCACAATGAGTTACCACCTATTAAAATGGCTATTTATCAGGACCAGCAGATGGCATGATGATTATGTTGCTGGACTTCCACATGGTCAACTGCTGTTCGAGTCCCAGACACAGTGGCTTAAAACATGCTGGGCACATGTGCATGTGCATGTGTGCCCAAAATCCTGAGGGGAGAATGGAGGAGAAAGGATTGTGGCATGGTCATCCCTTTGGGGATCAAGATTTTTGCTTCCTGTCTTCTGTCTGTCTCTCTGGTGAGTGCATCCACCCTACAGCAAAAAATTTCTCTATGTATATAAAAAGGCTATTTATCAAAAAGACAAAAGATAGCCAGTATTAACAAAGATGTGGAGGAAAGGGAGCCCTCATACACTGTTGGTGGGAATGTAAATTGGTGCAGTCATTGTGAAAAACAGTGTGGAGGAGTCTCAAAATATCAAATATAGGGACCAGCAGTTGGCATAATGGCTATGTCGCTGTACTCCCATGTAGTTGACCACAGTACAAGTCCTGGACCTGGTGGCTTAAACTCACACCTAGAGCGTGTGCGTGCATGCCCAAGATCCCAAGAGGAGAATGGAGAAGGGATTGCGGCATGGCCATTACCCCTGGGGGGTGGTTTCTCTTTCTGGTGAGCACACGTGCCCTGTAGAGAAAACCTCTCAAAAAAAGAATATATATATATTATATATATATTTATATTATATCTATATAATATAAAACTAGGGGACCAACTTTGGGCATAGTGGTGGATGTGCTGTTCAGGAAAGGCCAGATTTCACATTGCCACCACTGTTCAAATTCCGGCAGACACCTGGTCAACCCGAGACAGGCAGGCATGTGCATGAATGCCCAGGACCCATCAGAGGGCTAGAGGAGGGGGATTGTGGCAGGGCTAGACCCCTCATCTCTCTCTCACACACATGAATTACTGCATGATGTATATACTACTGAGTATGTATCCAAAGGAACTGAAATCGGGCTAGCAGGTAGGATGGTGGCTAAAATACCGGGCTCCCACATGGCCAACCATAGTTTGAGCCCTGGACCCAGCAACTTGAAAAATCATGTTGGGTGCATGTGTATGTGTAATCAGAATCCTGAGAGGAGAATGGAAGACAAGGGATTGCAGCGTGGCCATCCCTTGGGGGATGATTTCTCACTTTCCCTCTGTTTCTCTCTGGCAAGCAAAAGTGCCTTATGGTGGGACCAGCAGTTAGCATAATGGTTATGTCACTGGACTCCCACGTAGTCAACCGCGGTTTGCGTCCCGGATCCAGTGGCTTGAAACTCATGCCAGGCGCGTGTGCGTGCGTGCCCAAGACCCCAGAGGAGAATGGAGGAGAAGGGATTGCGGCATGACCATCCCCCCTGAGGGGTGATTTCTCGCTTTCTGTCTCTCTGTCTCTCTCTGTATGTCTGGTGAGCGCACGCACCCTGTAGCAAAAAAAAAAAAAAAAAAAGTGCCTTATGGCAAAAACCTAAAACAAAACAAAACAATAAAATCCCCAAGGAACTGAAATCAATATATCAGAGATATCTTCACCACTCTCTCCCACATTAATTGCAGCATTATTCACAACAGCCAAGATGTGAAACAATCTGTCTCCTTTGGCAGAGGGGTGGATAAAGAAATTGTAGTATCTCTATCACACAATGAGAAATTATTCTGCCTTACAAAAAGAAAAAATAAAAGACAAGAAAAGAGGAAATCCTGCCATTCGTGACAACTTGGATGAACCTGGAGGACATTATGTTAAGTGAAATAAGCCAGACACAGAAAGTCAAATACTGCATGATCTCACTTGCATATAGAATCTAAAAAAAAAGAAGTTGAACTCAGGAAAACAGAAGAGAAGGATGGTTACCAGGTTCTGGAGGGGTGGGAGGAACAAATATACATCAAAGAGTACACAATGTCAGTTTTAAGGATGAAGATGTTCTAGAGATCTAAAGTACAACACGGTGACTATAACTAACAATACTTTATTATACAGACATTTGAAATTTACTAAAAGAGGAGATATCAAGTGTTCTCACTACCACCACCAGAACAAAAAAGATAACTATATGAAGAGATTGATCGGTTAATTAACTCAACTATAGTAGTTAGTTCATTATGTATATCAAAATATCATCTGGTATACCTTATATATATATATAGATATTATATTTATTTTAAAAAGTAAAGTGAAATAAATAAATAGCCTTGGGGCCAGCAAGTGGCATAGTGGTTAAGGTGCTAGACTCCCACATGGCTGACTGCAGTTCAAGTCCTGGACCTGGAGGCTTGAAACTCACACTGAGGGCATGTGCATGCATGCCCAGAATCCCGAGAGAAGAATAGAGGAGAAGGGATTCCAATATGGCCATTCCCCCGGGGGCAGGGGTGATTTCTCACTTTTTCTCTGTCTTTCTCTGTCTCTCTGGCGAGTGCACATGCCCTATAGCAAAGATCTCTTTCTACAATAAATAAATAAATAGCATTAGCCATGCTTATTTTCTGCAAAGATTTTTCTTCTTTCTTTTGGAAACCTCTGGCATAATGGATTTGAGCATAGATTTTGGAGTTGGAGAGATCTTGTTTTAAATTCTGTTCCTGACAGTCAATAACAGTGTGTTCCCATGTAAATTGCTTCAATTTTCTGAGTCCTGGCTTCCTTAGCTGTCAAATAGCAAAATAGCATCTACTCCTTAAAGTAGTCGCATGGACTTAAGGAGACAATGATGCAGAATGCTTACACAGTGTGGTCGGCACGTAGGATCAACTTTTGAGAAAAACCAGCTCTTACAGTTCTTTTGATTTGACTCTAAAATTTAAAAAAAATTAATTACCAGAGGGTACATGCATTCCCTAGAAATAGAGAGACAGAGACAGAGAAAACACCCACTAATGGGGTGTGGTCATGCCGTAGTCTCCTATCTTTCTGGGATCTTGGGTACACACATGTGCCTGGAGCGCTCTTCAAGACTCTGGGGCCATGAGTCAAACCATAGTCAGCCATGTGGGATCACGAGGCAGTGGTATAGCTCCCTCAACCACTACACTACACTACACTACACTACACCATGGGGCCAGCCCGTGTGTCAATTTTTAAAAATTGGAGTAAAAGACATATACGACTCACTAGTTTAGTGGTGTTACGCATATTCATCTCGTTTGCCAGCAGACCTCCAGGCCTTTTTCACTTTGTAAAACGGAATCTCTGTCGCCATTGAACAACAGCTCCCTATTTCTCTCTCTCCTCCTTCCCTGGTAACCATCATTCTGCTTTGTGTGTCTATGCATTTGACCACTCGAGGTACCTCATATGAGAGTGCGGTTGCTCTTTTCACTAAGAGGAAGAGGTGAAAGTGCTTCACCTTTGCATTTTTTCCAGTGGCCAGGCTCCAGCTTCAGTCATTGCCAGGTGTTGTTGGCATTGTTAAAACTTAAACCAAGGGCGGTAGAGTCTGCCTCATACCCTTGGAAATAAGAGAGCAAGAGGAAAAGGAGGAAGGGAGTTGTGCTTGTCTTTCTATCCATAAGAAAAATGTCTGGCACACAGTAGAATGCAAGATAAATTTCTCCTGAAACTTCATCCTCAGAAGGTGGGATGGCCCTGGAGAGTGCAGGGTTCCAGGGATGCCCAGGGTCACCACCATCCTGCTGGGGAGATGGCTCCTCTTACCTGGAGCACTTGGTTGGGATTGTCCAAGCCTACAGAGTCTGGCAAGCGGCGGTGTCAGCAGGTGGAAGTGGTTTGTCCTCTCACCCAGGCATGCAGAGTTGGGAAATTTAGAAGAGAGAAAGCAGTAGCGGGCAATGGAAAATATACTGCTCCTGGCTCTGCCATTGAGTCACTTAGCCAAATCACTTTATCTCTTTGGGTGTCAGTTTTCTTATCTATAAAATGGGCAATTTAACTAGGTAAGTAATTATTTTTAACTATTAAAAATGTTTATTTGTTTGAACAGCACAATTGTCCCCTCCCCTTTTTTAAAATCTGTTTTCCTTAAACAAGAAGTAGATGTGTGTGTGGTGGGCAGGGGATGCATTTTGAAAGATCACTTTGAGCATACGGTGTGAGAAACAAATAGGATGTGTGACCAGCTGCAGTGCTGCAGCAGTAATGCAATGCTCTGTGTTGCTCAGCCCACATGGGAGGACCCTGAGTTTGTATTCCCGGGTCTTCTTGTGCGTGTTGGGTACACCTGCATGCCCACACTCCTGGCTTACCGAGGCTGAGGGTGATGGTATGAGTATCTTGTTCAGGGTGAGCCCTTCCTATCTTGGAAGAGGTAAATAAACATTAAGAAGAAGGGAGAGGTAGATGTGGAGGTGTCATGGCTTGGGTAAAGAAGAGAACATTGGGGCTGGTCCTGTAGCTGAGTGGTTAAGGGAACCAGATTCCACATGGCTGACCATGGCCCCGGTGGAAAACCATGCTAGGTACATGTGCATGCATGCCCCAAATCCCAACTGGATGGAGAAATGGAGAATGGGTTGCAGCATGACCACACCCCATGGGGGGGACGCTTTTCCCTTTCTGTCACTCCTTGGTGAGTGTACATGTCCCCTAGCAATGAGAGAGAGGAGAGAAGATTGGCTTAGGCAGAGTTATAACAGTGGGATGGAGAGAAATGAGCAGCATTAAGAGATATTTAGATGCAAAGGTAATTCAAAAACTGTATTTGCCCAGGTTTTTAGGATTTGATGTTTTCACATTTTAATTTGAGTTACTGATGAAGTAAATGTTACTTTAGACTTACAGGAAGGGAATGTGGGGAGGACAATGTCGAGAATGACTCTCAGTGGTTCACATTACATGACATGTGATTAACTGAAATAGAGCATGCGCATAGGTCTTGAGGGAAAGAACATGCATTTGTTTTCAGACTTGCTGAATTGGAGGAGCCTGGGACAACTAGGAGCAGGCAGTTAGACCAAAGGATCTAGGGCTCAGAAGTTACTGGAACTGTGGGTCTGTGTTGAGAAAATGGTGGACATGGTTCTTCTCTTTGTGTCTCCCCCAGGTCATGTTGGCCCCTCTTATTTCCATCGCTCTGAAGGTGTCCCAGCTCCAGGAAAGGACAGGACGCACCGCACCCACTGTTATCACCTAAGAAGACAGGCAGATCGCTGTACGTCCCTCCACCCCAGGACCGCCCAGTTCAGCTCATTGAAGAGCATGGACAGAAGCTATTTGCCCAGGCTTTTAGGATTTGTTTTTTTTCCCTAACGAGTTGCTGATGAACGGTATATTTGCAAGGCACTGCCAATTGAGATGTTCTTGGGAGCCTGTGCAGGAAGGAGGGAGGGAGGACCCAGGGCGGATGCTAATGTCAGTTCCTTCTTGTGCCCTTCTGGGCTGCTGCGGTGTGGGTGTTCGTCTCCACATCAGGTCCTGTTTACAGTACGTGGTAAGTGGAGGTTACGCACGAGCAACGGAGGCCATTTTTCATCGTTAAAATGTGCCAATGAAATGACAGTGCGAGTTCCTTTATCCCTGGTGAATTTCCTCCCCATTTACTGTTTACATGTAATCAAACAAAATGCAATTTCTGGTGCCTTCTTCCCAGTCAGTTCTTTCCTCAGAGTGAGGCGTACTTGTCTACAGATTTTCTGCCTTGTTTTGCAACATAGTCCCACGCACACAGCTATTTTGGGAAATTAAAGCAAAATAACCTACTATTTCTTGTTGTCTCTTCTTTTCCTTAACTACAAAATGCTTTTTTGATTTCAGAAAAAACCAGATTTTTATTTTATTTTATCTTTTTATTTGAGGACATTGTGTTTTGTTTTGATGTCCTCATCAGAAAACAAAATGGTCTCTGGGCTAGGTTGACATCTTTAGACTCAAGAACCGTAGTTTTAAATCTTAGCAGGGTCAACTGAACTCGGAATCTCTCCAGGATAGACAAATTAAGCCTGATGTGGATAACTTAGAATGAGAGAAAGCAAGCTGACTTTCAGGAGACCTTAAATAGTAACACACCGGCAGGTGCCGTGCAGTGCCTAGCTGCGCCGATCCGCCATGATGCCTATTGAAGGGGCACAGGCAGAATGCTCAGAATCTGAGGCCGGGATTACTGGCAAGTGATGGAAATCTTGAGCCCCTTGGTGTCTTATTCATCTTAGGACACTGTAAAGTCAACCTGCAGGTATAATGTAGGCATGAAAAGGATAGTCTTGGGAGCCAACAGATCCATATTTGGATCCCACTTAAGACCACAAGTGGCCTTTGACTATCTTTCCCCATGTCTTTAAGATGAAGATAGGGCCTGGCCCATTGCCTGGTGGTTAGGGGAGCCAGTTTCCACATGACCAACTGTCTGTGCAGTTTTTCAGGCCTGGTGCTTTGAAAAGCATGCCAGACACATGTACCTGCGTGTCCAAGGTCCTAACAGGATGGAGAGAGAGAGAAGGGGTTGTGATATGGTCTCTCCTTCTCTCTGTGTCTGTCTATGGTGAGCACACATGCCCTCTGGCAAATAAAAATAAAAAGGGAGTGGAAATAGTTCTAACTTAGGGATTGTTGAGAACATTAAGTGAGCAGACTTGAAAAACAGTAGGCACAATATCTAGGTTGCCAAGCAAGAAGAAAGTAGAATTACGTTGCAATATAATGTAATTCTACTTTACAATCTAGAATTGTAAAGCATAGAAAAAACAAAAACTATACCACTAATATTTGTGATATATTTTATAGTTTTCAGGGCATTTCTTTTCTTTAAGAGAATTTTGCTATAGGGTGCGCGCGCTTGCCAGAGAGAGAAAGTAAGTGAGAAATCACCTCCCAGGGGATATGGCCATGCCACAAGCTCTTCTCCTCCAGGCTCCTCTCGGGATATTGGGCATGCACATGTGCCCAGCATGTGTTTGAAGTCACCAGGTCAAGGAATCGAACTGCAGTTGACTATGTGGGAGTCCAGTGACATAATCATTATGTCCTCTGCTAGTCCCTACAGGGCACTTCTACGACATTACCTTGCTATTCCAGAAAGCTGGCCCAACTTGGCACCCCTTCCCCACCCACTGTGGACTCCCATTGCAGGTGCTGCTCCTTATCTGGAGTGAAGTTTCCATTGTTCCCCTTTAACAAGGAATTCAGCCCAGCAAATAGAACCAAACTTTGACAATAATGATGATGACGATGATGCTGAATACTTAGGGCACACCAACCAGGCACTATTCTAAGTGCTTTCTATATGCTCGTCAGGTGCTCCCAGCAGCTCTGAGGTAGCCCCTCCATCCCACAGATGAGGTCCAGTTACTTGCCCAAGGTCACATACTGGAGAGTGGCTGGTATCCCCAGGCCATGCAGCTCCAGCCCTGCCTGCTTTCCCACCATTTGTGCTGTGTCTTCTGACTGGTTATTTCTAAGCTACTTCTAACAGGTGGAAGGAAGGCAGGCACGTGCTCTTGCATTATTAAAGGAGAACGCTGTGGGCCTCAGGTGTCAGGGATTTAGTTCGTTTGGCAAAATTATTGCCCAGGAGTCTTGCTGTCTGGGTCTATCAGTCAGCGGGGAAGTAGGTATTGCCCCACATTACGTGTGAGATGCGTGGGAAGGAGAGACCCGGAACGGCACAGTCACGGCCCTCAGGCACCCACGAGACCAGCTGAGGAATGAAGTCCAGCCCGAAGCGACACCGTGTAGGATAAATGCTGAGTGTGGACTGGCTCGGTGGTGCAGTGGTCAACGTGGGACTCACGTGATGCTGGAGTCATTCGCAAGACCAGGTGGGAATCCCTGCTGTTAGGACTCGTGTGTTCTGTCTCAGCTGCTGGGCCGAACAGCTTCCTGCAGCCCTCCATGTGAGACGCTATTATTCCCACTTCCCAGTCAGTGTGACTGAAGCTCAGCAGAAGCTTCAGCAATCTGCCCAGGTTCTCAGCCACCATCTGGTGAAATTTTGACCCTGACTCTTGTTCACTTTCCGTGACCCTTTTCTGCCTCCCAGTCTGTTGAATCAGCTGCAGACACTCCCGGTTTTGTGGCCCCTGGAATGGCTTCAAAAATGTCCTCCTCATCCTTGATCAGAACTCAGCTGCATTCCGAGTCCACTTGGCTACATACAGCCTGGGAGCTAAAGGCTGGGGAGGAAGGAAGAGGCCGGAGCAGTGGAGCAGTGGGGGCCATGGGAAAGGGCCATTCCTCCCTTTGTGGCCTCCAGAGAGACACCCCAACACATATGCCCTCGAGGAGTGCTGGGAGCCAGAACCCGAGGGGCTGCCAGCAGCACACAGCCAAGCTTCCCCGCCTCCCAGGACTGATGTGGTCTGTGAGTCAGGCTTGTTTTCTTTGGGGTGTGGTGAGGATTACAGTAAGAAAATTGGGTTGGAGCTGCTTGGGGCCCAACTCTAAAACTTCACATTCTCCTCCCTCTTAATATTCAACTCTCATCTCAGAGAAGCAGATTCCAGTCCAGGAATGTTCCCGAGGCTCAGAATATGGCCAGGCTTCCTGGGGCTGAGCCCTGCCTCATAGAGGGTAAAAGCAGAGGTCAAGCTTACGCAGTGCTGGCGAGGGTCATGTCCTTGACCCTTCAAAACCAAGCTTTGGGGACTGGAGCCCTCTCCTCCTCCAACTCAGAGCCCTTCTGGGGTGCTTTCCTTTATAGTTCGTGTTGGCTCATTAGGACAGAAGCTGGCCTTGGTAAATAAGAATCCTCCAGAAAGTGTTACCGTGTATAAGAGACACGCTTCTATTTTTTTTTTTTTTTTGCATTCTGAACCCTCAGCAAAGGTGGGTGGAATAAGAGTAAGAATAGCCTTCATGCAGGGCTGCCTCCTGATCTTACTGGCCCTTACGTTTGTCCCCTCTAATCCATTATCCACACCAAAGAGATCTTGAAAATGCTGAAGTCCGAAGGCCAGCCGGTGGCGTGGTTCCACCTTAAGGTGGCTGGATCCTACCTGGCCTGCTGCGCTGTTTGTATCCTGGACCTGGCAACTTGAAAAACACACTGGGCACACGTGTGTGCATGCCCAAAATCCTGAGAGGAGACTGGAGAAGGGATTGCAGCATGACCACCCCCCTCCCAAGGGGTGTCGTCTCTTTCTCTCTCTCTGTCTCTCTCTGGTAAGTGCACATATTCTATAGTAAATTTTAAAAATCAAATGAAGATGTGAGTACATTTTAAATGAATACATAAATACTGAAGTCCAGAGCAGCTCGGTGGTACAGGTTCTCCTCTTGGCCTGTACACCCCAGGCCCATGTGCCGTGATCCTCACAGGCCGGGAAGGCATGGAGGGATTGTGGTGTGGGACCCTGGTAAAGGTGCTTGTTTTCATCTCTGTTTTGCTTTCTCTCTCTGGCTCTCCCTCTTATGAAAGAAATAAACTAGCTTTAACTAACTAAATAAAATGCTGAAGTCCAAAAGCCTTTATGTCACTTATAAGCCCGTGGGACCTACCTGTCCCTTAGCCCACCAGCTTCTCTCCCTCTACTCTCTTCCTTACGTTGGACGCTCCGGCCATCTGGGTTCACCTGGAGTTCCCTGGAAAGACCATCCTCTCTTGTCTCCAGGCCTTCAGACCTGCTGCTCTCTGTGCCCGCATCACCTTTCCCCACCACTCCATCGTCCTCCATGTCCCCCCAAATTCCCACTTGTTTCTCAGGTCTCAACCTTTCCTCCAGGAAGCTCTGCTGAGCCTGCAGGGTCTGGCTGGGGTGCTGTCTTTGGTGTTTCCACAGTTTGCTGGAGCTCCTGTGTGGCACTTAGCACCCTCGGCGTGAGTAACCTGTCTACTCTCCATTTCTCTCCTGCTCTCGCATGCAGAGAGGGCAGAGAATGCCTCCTTCACCCATGTTTACCCAGGATGGAGCCCTGGTTTGGCACACGGCAAAACCTCGTTGAATACTTACAGAATGAGTGACTGAAACCTATTGGTCGCATAGCAGGGTGTTTCATTCTGCTGTGACTTCCCTGTCTACGGCGGTACGATTGTCTTAATTTTGTAGGTGACAAGTGACTTGACCAACTTACACAGCTAGTAACTGGCTAACCCAGAACTCTTGCATAAAGCTTTAGCAGCTGAAGGTGAGAGAGCACCCAGGGGAGAGGGTTGGGCATACTGGCAACAGCTGGGAGGTATGTATCATGGTCACTCTGAACACAAGTTTTAATTTAAATGTCAAAAAGCATTTTATCAGACCAGCTAGGTGGCGGAGTAGTTAAGGTGACTGGATCCCACACGGCTGGCTGCACAGGTCGAGTCCCAGACCTGGTGGCTTGAAAACCATGCCAGGCATGTGTGTGCACTCAAAAATCTCAAGGGGAGAATGGAGAACAAGGGATTATGGTGTGGCCATCCCCCTGCAGTGGTCTCTCTCTCTCTCTCTCTCGCAATCACATGCAGCCTATAGCAAAAAAAAAAAAACACCAAAAAACCCAAAAAGCATCTCCTCTCTCTGCTACAAAAAGTAATTGGGGGGTGGGGGGGACCAGCAGTTAGCGTAATGGCTATGTCGCTGGACTCCCATGTAGTCAACCGCGGTTCGAGTCCAGACCCGGTGGCTTAAACTCACGCCGGGTGCATGTGCGTGCGTGTGCGCATGCGTGCCCAAGATCCCGAGAGGAGAATGGAGGAGAAGGGATTGCAGCCTGGCCATCCCCTCTGGGGGATGATTTCTCACTTTCTATCTCTCTATCTCTCTCTGTCTGTCTGGCGAGTGCATGCACC